ACCTAACTGACTGGACTTATATTTATATAAATAATTCTGTGACTAACTGTACTCGCAAATAACCCTAGCCTTCCTCTAGTGACTCCGTGTAGCAATACGGGACGGATTAGTCAATCTCATTTAATCTATTCTTATAGCTTGGAAAATCCACCTAAAACCAGCTATTTGATCTATTATTTTTCTAACAACTTATTCTTGGAATTCCCACGTTCTTTGGAATGCATTTCGCTACTACATACTAAAATCTCATTCTGATTATGGACCAAGTTTCTATACAAGGCAATGCCAATAGTAATAATAGTGGCATGCATTAGCATTTGATTAATGTTAGTAGCAGTTCTTGTATTTGACTTAACGCAATTATTTTAATTTAATTAATAAACCTGACTTATAAATCCATGTAAAAACTAGATAAATCGCTAGTACCTACTCAGAAAAACGTATACTCCTCCCTATCAAATGAAAGAAATATTCTTCGATTTACTTCCTGTATTGTCTGATTTGTTGGAATATTAATAATATAATAATAATAATAATACGTTTATTTAGCACTTGCTATTTCAGTTACAATAGTCGTTAACATTGTTTACATAATTTGTATATTATCAATTATTTCATAATATTGTCTGATTTATTTCCTGCATATTTTTACAAATTGATAAAGAACCGAAAGCCTATGGTTAATATATAATACCTATATAATTTAACCAAGTGTTATACTTATTAGAAGCTGTTGAGTAAAAAAGCATCAGTTCCTATGAAACTTTTGGTAAAAAAAGTATCAAGAAACTCATGTTCAAAATAAATATTTATAACGCCACTACAGTAGCATAACAGTTTCTACAGCTTTTTTAAATTTATGTAGAAAACATTTCCTAAACTATTAATTTTACAGAGTTGAACCAAGAGGGTATTATTGTTGGCAAAGTCTTCAGGGAACTTATTTTTGATACAGGCAGATTGCGATCGTCATCTATGCAAAAATTTTGTTAACCATTGGGCATAGTCCGTCCCTGGCGTTCTGGGCATATTCAAGTTTCACTGACAACATCAACAAGCTGTACGCTTGTGTTATCGATCACCAAATTTGCATCATGCTGAAGTTAATATTTAGATATTGTAAATAAAAATAACTTTTTAATTTTCATCTTTGAAGGCCCGTAACTTGTTAACGAAGACCCGTATGGAAAAAAATATATGAAGAATTATTATTATTTTGACCTCATCTATTTGTAGGTACTCGACTTTTTTGTATCAAGTACTGTATTTACAACTTATAAACAGAGATATGAAAGTAACATGAGTAAAAAAATATGCAGTATACAAAATAACTTTTTCCTACCCTCTAAATAATGCATGTCTATTTCAAATTTATATTTACAAACATATTGCAACTTTTATTAACGAACAATTGGCGCTGTGACTTCAAGAACCATAAAGATCAACAGATATATATCATTACGATATAGTGATAAATTGAACGCTGGTTTCCTTCCTTTTTCGGTGGGCTGATGATTGATTTAACGAAATCAATCCCCTTAAAAGGAAAAAACCCTCGTTCTACCGCATCCACATACAAATATTATTGCCACCCGCAAATGATTCACTACGTTAAACTGTCATAAAGAGCGTGCATAATACATCCGATCTAAATCGCACTCTTAAATTTTGTTACAAACCCGTAAATATGAAAAGGCAACGATGGTCACTTTTACATATTTTAAATACAGAAAGAGATATACGATATTCGTTTTTTACACCACGAATTGTACGTGACATTGCACACAAGCCCCTGGTGAGGTGTTCGAGCAACAGGTGTGTGCATCGTACATCAAAATGCATTTATTCGGAGACAAGTTTTACCTTTACGGGTGTATTCGTGTTATCGGTAGTTAAAGTTCATTAAACATAAAAGCAAAGGACTGAAAGCATATATCGATCCTTTCGGAAGCCCATAAAGCAGTAAAGACACCTGCTCTGCTACTGGATATTACGCAACGTTAAGCCAGCCACTCACTACTCGGTTTTTGCCCAGTAACTTGATACGTTCTGTAGGTTTTAGTGAACGTGGCAGTAAGTAAGTGCTAGTAAGCCATATTCATCATGTATGTACTTAGTACAAGCCATCACTCGAGGGATGGTAATGTAATGTAATCTGGCGTGGGGTTTCATCTCTTTTGACAATTTGCGACTAATGACTGTAAGCTGAAACGGTATACGATGGTGAATTTTTCACATAGTATTCGGCATTTGCCAAATAGGTACTTGGTGTTTACTAAGTAGACTTTAAGATCGTAAAGACATAATCTCTCCATAACACAGAATGTCAAAGTCTTCAAGAGCTCGTGATACTCGTCAAAATAATAGAAAAGGTTTTTATGAACATATTCCGAGACATGTTCTCTAAAATGTTCAATATGGAAATTACACACTAGTTCGTCGTTTATTTTGACGCGACACTAATGAATGTAAAAATGCCTTATATAGAGTTACACTTCGTACGATATTTGTTGAGATAGCGTTCCATGAAACTATTTGGTTTCAACAAGATGGAGCTCCACCTCACTTTGGCTTAGAGGTTCGGCAATATCTTGATGATACGTTTCCTGAAAGATGGATAGGGCGGAGAGGATCTTTGGAGTGGCCCCCGCATTCTCCCGACTTTACTCATTTGGATTTTTTTCTATGGGGTCATTTAAAATCTAGGGTATACTTCAATCTACCAAAGAATTAGACTTACAACTGAGAATTCGTGGTGAAATGGAAATAATCAGCCCAGAAATTATTGAGCGTAGTGTGCAAAGTGTTTACGCTCTCTCTGGTTGGTGCCAAATTGTTGGTGGAGAACAATTTGAAAATTTACGTTAAATTTCGTTAATTATTTGCATTTCTTTCGTTTCCAAGTACAATTTCTTTTATGAAAAATGACATTAAATAATTTTTTGAAACAAATGTCATTCTCTCTCAATATCTCGCTTGTTATTTGAGATAGATCCATCAAACCCTACATCATTGTATTCGTAAGAGAAAGCTTTATCCGAATATGAAAAAATATACAGGGTGTTCCATAAGACAAAACAAGTTTATTTGCTGCCCAGCTTTTCTGGGTCATCCTGTATACAACTGGATCATCTTAAAGGATGCCCCTCCGGAGAACAAAATCGACCTGTCTCGCCGTTTTTTTAAAAATCACTTGTTATAAAAGTTATGAATTTTGTCCCAAACTTACAAGTAGTTCAGATAACAGAACTTGTTTGGCTTATTCTTTTCTTGAAATTCTGTCCCAACAAAATATTGTACGGACTGTATTTTCATGAAGAAAAATCTGTGCATCTCGTCGTTACAGACTTACATTGATCTTTCTTACAATTAGCCTTAACTAGAAATCTTTGATCTGTGCTTGTTATTCTAGCCGCTAGAGGGCGTCAAACCTTGAATTGAAATTTTAATATTTTTTAAATAATGTGTAACATTGTAATCGAAGTAATTGTACTTTAGTACTTCTTATTTTTCTGTTTTCTCAGAGGGTGCAACTTTTTCCATGTTGTCTTTTGTTTCGTAGTTGTTTTCGAGTAATATAGCACTGTTAACCAGTACCGCCGTCTTTTCGATACAAATCTGATTTAATTATCACAAAAAATTATTTATTTGATAATAAAAATGAAAGAATGCGTCGAACAGTTCATTTTATAACTGAATGGTTTCTCATCAAAAATATAAAAATTAAGAAACATAAAAGTTAGTAAAAAAAAAACTTAATTGCAATTATTCTTATTATTATTTTCTTATATTTTTTAAATTAATGTGATTTAAAATTCAAAAATTGTAATATCGTTAGAATTATGTACAAAGAATTTACAATAAAAAACAAACTTGAAAACCTTTGTAATAAATAAAATCTGAACTTATACAGGGTGTTTCAGAAAGACCTCCCGTAGATTCAGGGAGTGATAGTACGACAAAAAATAAGAATTTATTGTCTTATGAACTATATGTCTATCTCCTCTTCTTTTCGAGATACAGAGCCATAAAATAAAATTTTTTAAATAGAATTTTTACGAAAATTTCCAAAAATTTTAGTGTTAGTGACTGTAGTTAGCAATGACTAACTCATAATCACTAAAATTTTGATATAAAGTTAATTAGAGTTTAAAATACTACTGAGAATGTATGCGTTGTTTATTCATCCATCAATAAGTTTTGTCATAAGCCTACTTTGAGAAAAGTCACTTATTTTCTACACCGTAATATTGTAAGAGTTCAATTAAAAGCCTTTTATCTCGAAAACCGTCCAGATTAAGAAGTTCTGAGCACATTTATTTAGAAAATAATTGTACATTAGAAATTGGAGCCAGAAAAAGACCTAACCTCAAAAAAATTAGAACCGAAAACGTAACAGGAATGTTGCGTAACTAGCGCCCTCTACGAAATATCTAAAAAATAATTAGACCAGCGTATTTGGCGTCCTTAAAAACCCCGGGATACCAAATTTCATAGAAATATTTCGCTTCGTTTGAAAATTTTTGTAAAAATTCTATTTAAAAAATTTTATTTTGTCGCTCTGTATCTCGAAAACAAGAGGAGATAGACATATAGTTCATAAGACAAAAAATTCTTATTTTTTGTCATACTATCACCCCCTGAATTTACGGGGGATCTTTCTGAAACACCCTGTATAACTATGCTTGTTTATGAGGTGGTTCCGTTTCTGTAAATGCAATTGCTTCAGTTATTAGATAAGTCAAAAGTTGGTTTATTCGTATATTCGAGACATGCCAAACATTTTTGAAATCGTATAATCCGACTATTTTTCGAACTTCGACTTCCTCTGGCGATAAACGAAGTAACTTTGTAGATGTAAAATTCATTAAAACTACTTAATTTGACATATTCAAATATTCTGTATAAATATGTGTTTAGTTGTGATAGGACGTTTCGAACATCGACCCCTTTCATTCGAGACGTCTGGACCTAACAACTAACGAGCCCTTTCATTGCAGGATTTCGTGCAGAACCTGTCCATCCTGTCGAGGGGCTCGCTGGACGAAAAGCTGCGCTGGGCGTTCTCCCTCTACGACATCAACGGGGATGGCTGTATCACACGTGAGGAAATGACGGATATTGTTTCCGCTATCTACGACCTGATGGGGAAGCTGTCCGAGCCCTGCATAGACGAAGACACGGTAAAGGAGAAAGTGGATAGGATATTTCAAGTAAGCAGTTGGCATTGTCATGCTCTATTGTTTCATATACTGTTAAAAGCAAAGCAACAACCAATCCTCAAAATAAAAGCAGGGCTTAATTTAAGGAAAAAACATTTTATTTATCCATTAATTTGCAAGGTTATTACATAAATTTAAAAACTAAATGTTGCTGTCAAAAGTGATATAAAATATCAGAAAATTATCTTGAATTTTTTTGACAAAATTATGGACAGTAATTTCGCTTACCTGGAAACAACTCTTCGAATCGTTGATGGTCCTTTAGGAAATCCCCAGAGGAAGAAATCGCACGGACTGATGTCAGTCGACCTTGGTGACCATTTGGACTTTGTTGTTGCATGAAATGTGTTGCCCAGTAGACTTGTGTCGCGACAACTGAATTGTTTCATGCGCCATGTAACAGATTGGCGCTATCTTTCTGGAACCATAAATCCATGCCATTTAAATGTGGCCATAAAATGTTCAATATTATCTCACAATAACATCGACGATTGACAGTTACTGCGTTTCCGACGTCATGCTAAAAAAAATACGAACCCATCACTCCACTAGAGTAAAATCTACATCAAACTGTCACTCTCTGAGTGTCGTTTTGGTCCCAAGTTCAACAGTTTCATTATATTTGTTTATCTGCTCCCACTATAGTACATAGACTATAGTCTGTTCGGAAATGAAAGAGAGTAATAAAACCCCGAGATAAGAACCGCCCATGGGCTTGGTAATATTTCGTTTCAGGTAATTATCGGGTAACACTAATGCTAACAGGTAATGGGTGTACATTAGTATATTTTACTGGATACATCATAGGGCAGGAGCCAGTGTATTGTGACAGATCAATACAGTCTTAGAGCTGAATATACGAAGACGTGCTAGTGCAGTAGAGTAAAATTCGACTTGTGTTTAGTGACTATTGTGCCAGTGGATATAATATTGTTTGGATAAAATGTCGAGCTTATCAGATTACGTACCTGCTAAACGCTTGAAAAGATATGCGCTGTCTCGGAATGAGAAGATTATTATATTAAATGTATTTAATGCATTGAAACACCAAAATCCTACCAACAGTGTTGACGACATCGTGGAAAAGTGTTCCAAAATGACAGGGATTGGAAAATCGACTATCTACAGACTTTTAAAGGAAACAAAAAATGAACAAGATACTGTAATCCCCCAAAATCATCTACAGGGAGGTCAAAAGTCGTTATAGATGATTTCTTCAAAAATGTCATTCGCAGAAAAGTACACTCATTTTATTTTAAAACATAAATACCAACGCTAAACAAAATTTTAAGTGAACTTTTAGAGGACAACGATTTGCCAAAAATCAGTAGAAGCAAATTATGGGCCGTCTTACGAGAGTTGAATTTTTGCTGGGAAAAGCAGAACAGGAAGTCAGTTCTTATCGATAAAGATGAAATTATTTGTTGGCGAAGATCCTACTTAAGATCAATTAGAAAATTCCGTGACGAAGGGAGGAATATTTATTATCTAGACGAAACTTGGGTCAACGAGGGATATACTGTAACAAAAGTACGGCAAGATAAAAACGTAAAAAGTTTTCGACAAGCATTTTTGGATGGACTTTCAACAGGGTTCAAGGCACCTTCAGGTAAAGGGCGAAGATTAATAGTGACACATATAGGTAGTGCCAGTGGTTTTGTAGATGGCGGTTTACTTTTATTTGAATCTAAAAATACAGGTGAACGAAGACATGAACGCAGATGTTTTCGAAGAGTAATTTACACAGATGTTGGATCTTATTCCTCCGGGGTCTTCACGGGCAGACCGAGCGGACGCCTACGACTGCTTGGAGGAAAGCCGATATAATTCTATGGTTATCCGGAAAAAACATTTCTTTTGAAATAAATATGGTGAAAAAGGAATTTTTGACACTTGTCAATCTTAATAAAGATCAGAAAAAATATGTTATCGATGAAATGGCAACAAATCGCCAAATAACGGTACTACGATTACCACCTTATCACTGTGAACTTAACCCAATCGAATTAGTCTGGGAGCAGGTAAAAGGAGATGTAGCGCGAAATAATACGACGTTTAAATTAAGTGACGTGAAAATTTTGTTAAAAAATTCCTTGGAACGAGTAGCTGCAGATAACTAGCAAAGATGTATACATCATGTACAAAAAGAATAGGAGAAAATGTGGGAACTCGATAATTTAATTGACGTTACTGTGGAACCTATCGTTATCAATCTAGGAGACGAAGATAATTCATCAGAATACGTATTCAGAGGATGAATTTTAATATACCTACTTTTTTATTTTTTTTATTGTACATTTATACAACACTACATTTACTCACCATAATTTGAATTTTCAAAATACATATATTTTTGTGTGGAATAAAAGTCTATTCATTAAATTTAAATAAATATTTTGATAATAATATTGAATAATTTTATTTGAATTACTAAAAACCCTCTTAACCCGGTTATGATGATTAAAGTAGCCTCATGTTTTGAAATGCTGTTTTTATATTGTTTACTTATAAGAGAAATGGACCGAGAAATTGAAGCGGCATAGACAAAGACGGATTATCGGTGTTTAAATTTTAGCTACCTGCTACAATTTAGTACATTCCGATCGCACAAAGTTTTGTTAAAAGTACACCGATAATATATAATATAAAAATATAAGCACCAGTACTACATTTATTTACGATTTGCATACATAATAAGCTTTTATTACTCTCTTTCATTTCTAAACAGGCTATATTAATATATTGTTTTTAAGGAGGTATGGACAACGGGAGGTAAGTGAGGTAACTTCCCTCTCTAAGGAAAAAAGCAATTTCGAGTTATAAATGCATATTTTATGAACAAATAAATAGGAATATTTGATGAACATTACATTTTATTATTATTTATCAATATTTATAGTAATTGTACAGTTATTACATCTAGTAAGATTTATAAAATCTGGATAATTATTCCCCTAGCGTTTACTAGTTCTCATTGCATTGCCGATGTTCTTCGGAATGAATGGCCTATATATGTTACAGGATGTTTTAGTTTCAAATACTGTGTAATCATAGATTCTTGCCGACTGATTGGTTGTAACATCTACCTGCTTGATAGCGCATAAAGAAGCGTGAAATTTCAGTTTTAATTTCCAATCTAATCTTGATATATTTCTTGAGAATTTCTAGGTGAGAAACAGAACCCAGACGAGAAGTAGTTGTAAACGTACGTGACATACCATTTTTAGAATCTGGAATTGGAATTACAATAATGTCATCGAAATTTTTGATATTGTCCGAAGTAAATTTGCATAACTCATCAGAACGGCATGCTCCTGCAATGCCTAAGACCGTCACTACCTTCATTAGCAAATATGTGTATTATCGAGTGCCTGAATGGTTGACTTGTTCTCTTTGCTGCACTCTTATTTGAAAATCACTCATTTAGAAATAATAATTCAAAACCAGCAAAATTGCAACTATGTAGCTTTGTTTATAAACATCTTAGAAACGTCAAAATCCAAACAACCAAGGCGATTTTGCAAGATTTCGAATAATGTCAAAATGAGTTGATTAAGAAATGTCAAAAAATAAAACCTAATCTTTATTTCATGAACCATAAAGAACTGTGGGAGCAAATAAAATGTTATACACCACGCAGCAGTTAAGTATAATTTACCAGTCTCTATTGCCAGCGCTCCGCTTGGGCGCAAAATCATCCTCGACTGGTAAATAATTCTTACCCCCTTTATGGTGTAAATAACTATTACATGCTTGTTCATAATAATGCGTTACATCGCTGAAGATTATCTTCGTAACAAAATCACCGTCAACTTTTTCATATTGCAGCTCCCAATCGACAAATGTCTGGCATTCCAAACGGTTGTTGAACTTCAGTTCCTGATGGTGACCTATGACCACTAAGATTTCGGCACACTCCGCCACATTAGGCCGTAAAATTAATTTTTTTTTCTGTTTATTTAAGCAGTTTGTAATGCTGTGAAAAAAAACTATTCCAAAATGTTCTTACATTAAATAGAACAGATAAATTAAGCAAAAATTACTTCATAAACACTACCTAAAAAACAACTCTTGACAGCATAAACCTTATAGCACAATGTTTGGTTTAATACCTTCATTTCAATTGCATACAAAAACCCTTTCTTCCATTCCAAAGTAGCATCCGATTGTAACACCATTTCATTCATTTGACAAACTGTTATTGTGCGCGATATTGTGTAGATTGCATTTTATATCACACTTGGCTCTCAATAAATTAGACTTGAGAGTGGGTAGTAAACAGCAAATTCACATCGAACTGAATCAGCACTTCCATTAAGTCTAAAAAAACGGTGTGGAAACAATGGCGATTTGCAAATAGCAAAACTAGCAACCGTACAATGCAGATATTACACGAGTTAAAATTGTACGCTACATAAATCGTACAACAGTGCTAGACAGAATTTTCCACATCGTTGAAACGAAACAGTCTGTATTATTTTCACCTAGTTAATTTTAATTTTTAATACCTTTGATACGTCCTACACCATTGTGGAGGAAAGTTAAACGAACAGTCAATATGTTCCAAAACAGGGATTTTATTTTATAATGACTATTTTATTTTTGTTTTTCGTTGAACATTTAGAAATAAATGCTTAGAAGTTTTAAGATCGTAAAGACATTCATAAGAAATATTGAATAAATTTTCACCTAATTTCAAGAATTTTTTTTTTTAAACGCGTTCATACCCAATTAATTGTGCTAATATAATAACACTATTTGCTGAATAATGTTCACACAACTATGTCTTATGCTGGTTAAAACTGCATTAACTACAACTAACTTCCTTAAATATGTATTTTGAAAATTTTAATGCTATTTTCAACTCATTCGCCGATTCTGCTTTCAAGAAAGCTCGTGACACGCAATTCTAGATGAAAGAAGTTACAAAGCAATTTCGAAAAACACAAATAGAGTTCCGGTGCACTATCGTATAAAGTGAGATTAAAATG